TCATATTGAAATGATATATTCCCTGCTATATCATATTGAAATGATATATTCCCACCAGTATCATATTGAAATGATATATTCCCTGCTATATCATATTGAAATGATATATTCCCACCAGTATCATATTGAAATGATATATTCCCTCCAGTATCAAAGTGAAATGATATATTCCCTCCAGTTTCATATTGAAATGATATATTCCCTGCTATATCATATTGAAATGATATATTCCCACCAGTATCATATTGAAATGATATATTCCCTCCAGTATCATATTGAAATGATATATTCCCTCCAGTATCAAAGTGAAATGATATATTCCCTCCAGTTTCATATTGAAATGATATATTCCCTGCTATATCATATTGAAATGATATATTCCCACCAGTATCATATTGAAATGATATATTCCCTCCAGTATCATATTGAAATGATATATTCCCTGCTATATCATATTGAAATGATATATTCCCTCCAGTATCATATTGAAATGATATATTCCCTGCTATATCATATTGAAATGATATATTCCCTCCAGTATCAAATTGAAATGATATATTCCCTCCAGTATCATATTGAAATGATATATTCCCTGCTATATCATATTGAAATGATATATTCCCTGCTATATCAAATTGAAATGATATATTCCCACCAGTATCATATTGAAATGATATATTCCCTACAGTATCATATTGAAATGATATATTCCCTCCAGTATCATATTGAAATGATATATAGCATGACATTTTCATCAAAGTTAGAATTAGGCCAAATCAATAACGATAAGGAGTTTTTATTTAGGGCACATCACGATCAGAACAAAACTTGCAATCATGCTTACAACTGTAAGGCATTTGGGCACGTTTTTTGTCAACACAATTAAATCTCACAATATGTGTCAACAAAGTGTAGGGGTGGAAGCTTGATACTGAGGAATGATTTACCTCTTTCCTTATTGTAATTTCAAGATCTCCTATTTCATGAGCTGTTATCCCCTCTGTTGATATGTTTTCACCCAGATTATCAGCTTCCCTTGGGGTATATGGTATTATATCATCTTTATCTTGAATAAAAATAACTGGTTCTTCTCGTACATTGCAAATAACGATATCCTATAATTGAAAAGTAATGAGATACTTGGAGAAAAACAGACATCACTGCTTCATTATTTAGAACTCCAATTCCAATTTTAGAACTCTGTGGGTCTGTCATTAAACAGTACATAACATTGTAATATTTGTAGTTTCAGTGAACCTTATCAACAGAAAATTGAACCTAATTTGAATATTCATCTTTCTATCTGCCAATGTTTTTTATAATTTCTCCCAACATTTTTCTATTCTCTGTTGTTTTGTGTTCTTTTGTTTCTTATTTGTGAATTTTATTTGTTGTAAATTTCAAATTATTTTAGTTTGCTTATTTTCTTGGATGCAAACCATGTCCTTTTCTAGCAAAACTGCTAGTTCATGTTTTTGAATAATAATGTTTTTTTTTATATTAAATGCACATGGTTTGGTCAATAATCATGACATCATGTCAATAATTATTCACAAAGATTCAGAAAAACACACGAGTAAACAAACACTGAAATAGCAAATAATCAAATAAAAACTAATAAAAACAGAGTATATTTTATATATATAAATGAAAATGTGTATATAATTTCTAAAAATGTACATTTGATCTTACCGAATATCCATCATCAAGTAACATGTCAAGAATCTGTTGTAGTCCTTCTTTTGTCGGCTGTCCCATGCCATAGATAGGATAACCTCCATGCGCTCGATGTAAATTAGGTGTAGAAAATCTTTTAATTGTGTTTAATTCATCAATGCCATGGAAATGATCTTTAACCATGAAATATTTCCCCTGTATTGCAAATAAAACAATTTATTGATACATTTGGCAGTGTAAACAATAACATTTAGCGAACTGAAAAAAATAAGTATTTACAAAGGTAAAATGCAATAGTGGACAAAATTATGAATCAGAACAAAAGAAATGCATGTCAATATATTTGACATACGACATTTAACATACTATGAGTGAAGTTTGGCAGCAATTAATTAAGTCATGTCAGTGATTCCAGAACAGAATTCTTTAAAACAACATGGTCAGTAGTCAGTCATTTAGATCTTATTTGTAAAATGAAATCACATGGATCAAGATCCTATGAAATGTACTAAATTTGAATTAAATCTGTCTATGCATGTTTGAGATCCAGTTCTAGAAATGTAGATCCTTGATTTTGATTTACTTGTAGCAATAAAATTATAACAAAGTCTACACATTATGGTATATATTCTTTTTGTACAATAATAACATAATAATACAGTGTAACAACAAACTGATCACTTGATCAATCCTGTTAGTTTGCCAACTATACAACAGTTAATGCAAACAATAATAAAAATGACAAACACTTGCATTTCAATATTCTGCATGTTAAATGACACAACCGTGCCTTTATTTGCAAAAAGGGAAATATAATTCTCCTACTAGCAATTTTGACGATCCATAATTTAAACATTTTATAATTCACTGCAGGCTATTTTTATGCATGAGCATGGCAGAAGTGTTATTTTTCTAATTTCTGCCACAATAATTGCCTCAATAACTACAAAGAGTTTGGTCGAATTCGGAACAATTTATAATTGTGTGTGATTTATATCACATGCCCAATTACTAAATGATGTGAAGTCACATGGTGTTTATTTTCTCTGGGTGGTCACATCAATTGAATACATTGTAATTGACTGATATGTGAGTCACGTGATATTCTCATACATGTATAGCCAACATAATTGACTGAAATAACTCAGTAAGAGCTGACTGCTTTTAATAATCTAATAAGCGTAGACTCAAATTTGTGAAGCAGTTATCGGACCAGAAGAGAAAATCACTCATACCATCACACTTGGCTCTTGTTTGATTTATTATATTTGGGTCATACTAACCCCTCATTGTACTTATGATTTAGCCTTAAAATTTGTGTAATTAAGTGGAATTAAATTTAATCTGCTCATATACTGCATTTGTACTGCTTCTAAAAAAACACAATTAAGTCATGACCTACATGACACAGACCCTGTATCATTACAGGAGAGTATGTGCATAAAGATAAAAAAAAAATACTTTAATTTTAAATTAAATTTATTTGTACTGTTCAGTTATGTTGAAATTTCTAATTTGGCTATATCACTAAAAAGTGCCAGTTGGTTCAATTGTAAACAAAACTGAAGAACTTGATGATCATGAAATGCATGGTTGTGCCTTTCTATCTCACATTATGATAATCTAGTTTAAAAAAACACACTGAATTGGTAGACCATAATGCATTACTACATCAGCTACTTGAATTGCCATGCGATGCCATGTCAATCAGAATGCAAGAATGTCAGGATGTCAATCAGAATGCAAGAATGTCAGAATGTAAATCAGAATGCAAGAATGTAAAAATGTCAATCAGAATGCAAGCATGTCAGAATGTCAATCAGAATGCAAGAATGTCAGAATGTAAATCAGAATGCAAGCATGTAAAAATGTCAATCAAAATGCAAGCATGTCAGAATGTCAATCAGAATGCAAGCATGTAAAAATGTGAATCAGAATGCAAGCATGTCAGAATGTAAATCAGAATGCAAGCATGTACAAAGGTAAATCAGAAGGCAAGCATGTCAGAATGTAAATCAGAGTGCAAGCATGTACAAATGTAAATCAGAATGCAAGCATGTCAGAATGTAAATCAGAGTGCAAGAATGTCAATCAGAATGCAAGCATGTCAGAATGTCAATCAGAATGCAAGCATGTAAAAATGTAAATCAGAATGCAAGCATGTAAAAATGTAAATCAGAATGCAAGCATGTAAAAATGTAAATCAGAATGCAAGCATGTAAGAATGTAAATCAGAATGCAAGCATGTACAAATGTCAATCAGAATGCAAGCATGTCAGAATGTCAATCAGAATGCAAGAATGTCAGAATGTCAATCAGAATGCATGAATGTTCAAATGTCAATCAGAATGTAAGCATGTCAGAATGTAAATCAGAATGCAAGCTTGTAAAAATGTAAATCAGAATGCAAGCATGTCAGAAAGTCAATCAGAAAGCAAGAATGTCAGAATGTCAATCAGAATGCAAGAATGTAAAAATGTCAATCAGAATGCAAGCATGTCAGAATGTGAATCAGAATGCAAGCATGTCAGAATGTGAATCAGAATGCATGTCAGAATGTAAATCAGAATGCAAGCATGTCAGAATGTAAATCAGAATGCAAGCATGTCAGAATGTAAATCAGAATGCAAGCATGTCAGAATGTAAATCAGAATGCAAGCATGTACAAATGTAAATCAGAATGCAAGCATGTCAGAATGTAAATCAGAATGCAAGCATGTCAAAATGTCAATCAGAGTGCAAGAATGTCACAATGTCAATCAGAATGCAAGCATGTCAGAATGTAAATCAGAGTGCAAGAATGTCAGAATGTCAATCAGAATGCAAGCATGTCAGAATGTAAATCAGAATGCAAGCATGTAAAAATGTAAATCAGAATGCATGAATGTCAGGATGTAAATCAGAATGCAAGAATGTCAGAATGTCAATCAGAATGCAAGCATGTAAAAATGTAAATCAGACTGCAAGCATGTCAGAATGTCAATCAGAATGCAAGCATGTAAAAATGTAAATCAGAATGCAAGCGTGTAAAAATGTGAATCAGAATGCAAGACTGTTAGAATGTGAATCAGAATGCAAGCTTGTCAGAATGTCAATCAGAATGCAAGCATGTCAGAATGTAAATCATAATGCAAGCATGTAAAAATGTAAATCAGAATGCAAGCATGTCAGAATGTCAATCAGAATGCAAGCATGTACAAATGTAAATCAGAATGCAAGCATGCCAGATTTCAATCAGAATGCAAGCATGTCAGAATGTCAATCAGAATGCAAGAATGTCAGAATGTCAATCAGAATGCAAGAATGCCAGAATGTCAATCAGAATGCAATCACGTCAGAATGTAAATCAGAATGCAAGCATGTAAAAATGTCAATCAGAATGCAATCATGTCAGAGAATGTCAGAGTGCAAGCATGTCATAATGTCAATCAGAATGCAAGCATGTCAGAATGTC